CCTAAAATTACCATTAAGTAGAATATTTTTGTACTTCACTTTCACCATGTTTATTATTATAGTGTGGTGACTCGACATTACAATGAACAAAGTAATTATGAAATTATGAAAATAAAAATAAAAATAAAATAATAATAAGTTATTAAAACATCTAACATGGCCACCACAAATTTGTCTTCTAGTTTTGCCAGCACTCTCTCCTGGCTTTTGCACACTTTGAGGTGTTCCCTGGCGTTTTAATTAAAGACTGAAATTAGCCATAACCTTGCATTAAAAGCGCTTGCTCTGCTTGGGAGAAAAACTGTGCGTGTTCTTTGGCCATGCTGAACAGCCAATAGCAGCGCTGCTGATCACTGGTTCTGCTATCGATACATGTCCCCTTTTAAACCAACGCGAGAACGCGCAGTTATCTCAGATAACTCAATCCAGCGATACTAATCATAAACAACAGGTGTGTTCGAAGAACCCAATTAGCCGGATCATGATTAGCACGATGATATTATCTTAGATGTCTCATTTGATCTCGGATGTTTTAAGCAACGTACGAAGAACGAGCCCCAGGTGTGCTCCTAGTCACATTCAAATCCAGACTCAAAACACATCTGTTTAGCTGTGCATTTACTGAATGAGCACTGTGCCACTGTTCGTCCGACTGTTACTGCACTTCATTTTATTTTTTATTCTAAATTGTTTAAATTATTTACTGTATTTTATTTTATTATAATGATTTTTTTTATTCTAAACTGTTTAAATTATTCTGATTTCTTTTGATTATTTAAATTTCTTCCATGTAAAGCACTTTGAATTGCCACTGTGTATGAAATGTGATATATAAATAAACTTGCCTTGCCTTGCCTGTACTTCACTCACTCCTGGATGTGAGTCATTGCTTAGGTTTAAATGGAATGCACTAAGCCATTGAACACTTGGAATTCATGTAACGTATGCTTCTGGTCTGTGTTGTGTTATTATAGTTAGTATATTGGGTCTGCATAGATAATGTATTTTTATGTGAACAGGCCGTCACACCAGATTCAGCTCGTATAACGCTTTATTGTTCGAGAGAAAGGCAGAAAAATGGAGCAAGGAAAAGAGAAGAACAGAAATGGAGAAAACGCAGTATCTCCGTACACTTAAACCTATACACATGAAGTAAAAGTATATAAACTTAAAACTGCCGAGTGAAATATGGAGTAAGAGGTGTTTTTCAGAGCTCTTGCAGAATCCGTAAAAATTTAATCTCACAACAGCATTTTTTAGGTCGAAAGTTGCTGCAAAATATTTAAAAACAACGCAGTCTGATATTATAAGTGCGGATGGCAGCGAATCTCCGCAAAATATAAGTAGGCCTACTCTGGTTCTACTACTAGCACAAGGCCTAAAGCCTCGGGACAAAGTGCATCCAGTCGATCTGCTATAAACATATATATGGACTTTGAAGTAATAAAAGCGGACATTCTATGAGATCGGATCATCTGTAATAAAGCAAGAGTTGAAGAATGCACAGGCTAAAGATTTCGACACAATAAAAAGTGAGCTACAGGCGATGAGGTCCGAAATCGCGAGCAGCGCCGCCGCCATGCGTTCTGAAATTGACCATATGAAAGAGAACATCAAAGACGAGATCCTGAGCAACATGGTTCGAGTTCACCCGCAGCGGTATCCAAATTTCTGAGAGAGATGCTAGAAATGGACAGAGATGTGAAGATTGACCGTTCGCATCGCAATCTACCCCCAAGGAAACCGGGTGATAAACCTCGCATTATCATTGCAAAGTTACATTATGATGGAGATTACATGGAGATCTTGCAGAAAGCCAGGTGTAAGGGGTATACAGTCAAAGACCCAGAACCAGATATGAAGAATGAAGACCCGGAGTCAGAATTATAAAAAATTAAAGAAAAGTTTTACTGAATATAGTTTGCAGTTTCATCAGCAGAAGTCAGCTTCAAGACTCACATAGGAGTTCGTAGACCGCCTCCTTACAGTTAACAATCACATAAGTTATACCGTTTCCAAGGTCTAAGCTACGTCATTGCTTACACGTTGAATGATTCTCATTGGCTAAGAAATAGATAAACACAGTAATTTTACACACATATACAGATAGACAGAAGCATATCTTCAGCGATGATGCATCTGACACTCAGAGGCTCGTCATGACCTTTCAGGTCACAGATTTGGGTTGCTGGTGCCAGTATGTCCAGAACAACAACTCAGTCAATCTCCAATAATGCCAGTGGTTCCTTAATGAAGTTCATGCAATCATGACCATGCTTTTGACTTATGTCCCTCAGGCTTCACTAACGTGATTGGTGACATAGACGGACGATAGACAGATGTTCCCATCAAGGCCTCAATGAATGTATTTTGTGAACAGAAAGGGGGTTCACATTGTAAATGTGCAGCCAATACCATTACGATTCTTAATATTCCAGATTAGTAATATTATATCAAATTTTAAAAAAGGCAGTTGACTGAGTAAAATCTCTTAGATGGTGTGACTACATTCCATATCACAAATGTGAAAGAAAGGATCTGTGCATGACTCAATAATTTTCAGAGATTTACATTTATGATCATTATTTGAACGTAGTAAGGACAAGTATAAATTATACAGGTGATTACAACAGGATCCTGCTTGGAGACAGGTGTTTTATGACCCCATTCCCTGACCCAAACCCCACACCAGTTTCAATGCAGCTGTAAGGAACTCCGCTTTTGGAAATATTATAATCAATAATAACTTGTTATGATTAATTATGAATATATGGGTCAGTTAATTGGATTTACTTGACATGGCTAAATTAATCTTACAATCAATTAATCAGTTCGTCCAACAAACTCTTTTGATTATTAATTTATTCCAAGAAAAGGGTATCTTCCATGGCCACAGAAGAATAATTATTTCTTAGCATATGTACAGTGCTTTGAGCAAATAGCAAAAAACACAATCGTAAAAGTGACTTTGATTTGCAAGCAGTCAACCAGAACCAAATACATAAAGTGCATAATTTGTATTAACTAAATCATAAACACGAATAAACTTAACAAACATACATAAATATGTGTATAAGGAAAAGGAGTGAGAGATGGAATGATGTAATGATGGAGAAGATCCATCTAACTATGAGAAGAACCAACAGCATTTCATTTTAACATTTCATCGAATTGAATACTTGCATTTGTAGTGGGAACAATTCTTGAAGTTGTGGAAAATTGAAGTCGTTGAGGATTCTGGCATGGGAAGTGGACGTTGTTTGAAAGTTATCTTTCTCCCTGACCACATGGCTTGTGAGTTGGGATAAACCTGTCAACACATGCCTATATGCAACAAAAATTAAAAGGAAAAGTACAACACTGCCCACCTCTATATCACTGCTTCTGTAGGCCTTTAGATGTAGACTCATGCAACTCATATTGCATTCAGAAATAATAGGCCTATACAAGTTTAAATGAAGTAAAGTTATTTATGCACTTACAGATACTTTCTCCAAAAGACAGTTAACTGTAACACGTTGGTGTGGTTTACCAACATGTTGGCCACAATTTCTCCAGCACTTATCTGAGCAGGATGGATCCCATTTTGCAATTAGCTGTGGAGTTCGAAAAAATCTGGTTAATGAGGAATGAGAGAAAATAATAGAAATAAAAAGGAAGAGGCATAGACGTTGGAACAGGGGGGGCGGCCGAATTCACCTAAGCACGGGCGTCAGTTTGAAATTTGCTGGGCACAGAGACACATTCGGAAGTGCTGGGTACAAACTTGTCAAACTGTGCAGCCTTTCTATTCAACCCATAAATAAATAGTCGATCCGCCAAACTTCATTTGACCGTTTTAATGGTCTAGCGGTAGCTCTTTTGCCCAGAGTGCCAGAGGTTACGGGTTCTAATCCGCCCTAGGTACAGTTTTTTTCTCTCTCATCAAAACAGAATATGTCCATCTGTGGTTACAGTCAATATCAAGCATAGGACACATTTATTTTGTGATTTTTACCGGAATGAATAGAGTCTCCGACGTAAAGGCGATTAAAGTGCGAGTCCGAGTGAAGACTGCGCGCCACAGAGAACATACTATAGCCTACAACTGACAGCAGCGGCAACAAGCGTTCCTCTTGATTTCAAAAACAAAACATTTTAGCGCTAGATCTCTTATTTAAACGAACTAAATTAATGCTCTGCTTAACAGGATATGTTTTATTCATGTTTAAAACGTTTTATTTTCCGATATATGGTGACTCAAGCACTGATGGATCAAGGAGCGGTCCATCAGTAGAGTCACCATATCGGAAAACATTTGGAATGGGTCAGACATAGCCCACAGTAATTCTGACTTATTATGTTTTTTAAAAGAATTTCGTTTTTATAAATTGTATTTCATTTTAATCAATCGTTTTAATCAACAAGTTGACTGATAAATTCTCAGAAAATGGATTTAATACCAATATTTTGAAACGGTGCGTAATTCCGTTTATGTGATCAATGTAATAGTGAAACTTTAGAACATTTAATTATAAGTTGTCATAAGTATAAACAGGAAAGGATGATTCTGAAAGATAGACTAAGTAAAGAAAAATTAAATTTGAAATGAAAGAAATGTCACAACTGAATTCAGGGCATGTGGGGTATAGAGAAATATTTAGGTTTTTGGAAAAAACTGGGCCAATCAATAGGTTGTGAAATTAGTTGTTATTAAAATTGTATTAGTAATGTTGTGAAAGTGTTTTATTATATGTAATTTTATTAGCTATTTATTTATTTAGAGTATTGTGATTCACACTCCATTTTAAGTAGCTAGGTGGCACCTTAAAAGTTGTTTGCTAACCGGCATTAAAAAAATAATAATAATAAGAGCCCATAGCCTACTCAAAACTGGGTGACAGCCTCTGGTGGCAGCACTGTACCAAAGCACTTTCTCTGAATGTACAAAGAAGAAAAAGATAATCGTCTAATCTAGTCCAAACGGCAGGTGGCGGTAATGCTCGTTTTTAGTTTGCAATCCGCTGTAAAGAAGAAAACCGTTAGATCATCCGCTATTGCGGTCTTTTGTGCTTTATGGCTTTATTTTCCAAATTTGGAAAAGTAACGTTTAACGCACTTCTTCTTTAGTTGGTTTAACATCATAGTGTAAATTATTTAGTCAGCCACAGTGGCTATACAAATCTTTCTGTTGTTATTTAGTAGGGTTAACAATCGTCGTCTTCATTCGGTAGGGTGTGGTTCAGAAACAAACAAACTACGAATATTAAAAACAAACGAAGTTAGGCTTCGTGGAAATCTGCAACAGTATGAAGCTCACCTTCAAATTCTTTCAGATTGTTCTACTAATATACGGTAAGTGCTCGATTTCAGTTTATTTTGAACACTTTCGGTTTCACTTTGGCAGCGATAACATATCGTTCATTGACTGTTGTCTTCTTCCTGAACTGTTAACGTACCTTATGAAAATATTCACATGTATTTAAATGACTTTAGACATGCCCTCCTGTTTAAGGATAAAATTAATTACCGGATAAAGCAGTTTTTGCATTTTGTATGCGTGAAAAAAAGGGGGGAAAAACTAGTTTGGATTAAGATAATGGATTCCGGTTGCTAGTCCCCCAGGCAGGATAAGAAATTAACACAAAACCACTAGAGTGACTAGGCAATCGCTACTCCGATTACACTTATTATTTGCCTTCTATATTCTTTGACGTAGCTTAATGCATTAGACTGACATTAAAAGAAATAAATGATATTATCCGCAAGCACCATAGGCCTGATTAACTAAGCATAGCCTGTACGTTACAAAGCAGATGAGCCCAGAATATGACGAAAGAAAGCAAATAAACCTTCTGGCAGCATTTTTACACAGGCGTTGCGTTCATTTTCTGTGCATTTTTTTCTGTATACTTTATTAGTATGGTGTTTCCTGAGTTTGGTCTTTTTTGACGTTGCGACTTAATTAAACTCGTTTCATTCATATTCTGGACTCATCTGGGGCCTGTTTCAGAAAGGAGGTTAAGTGAAAACTCTGAGTATGTTAACCCTGAAATGAGGGAAACTCTGGGTTTTCCGTTTCAGAAAGCTCTGGGTTTTCCGTTTAAACCTGAGACAGCAGAGTAAGTCAAGCCCATTTCTGAAAGAGAGGTAACTTATACTCAGAGTCAGTTACCATGGTAACTTACTCCGTGAACCTAACCTGGTCGGGAGCAGGTTTTCTTCAGTAAACTCAGAGTTTCTTGTGGTCTCCTCCCCTTTTTTAAAGAGGAAGTGCTGTTAAACACCAACAATAATACTAAAATGTGTTTACACATTCTTTAAGGAATATATATTGTTTGTCCATGGTTTAATTGACTAAATCTGTTTTGTAGCACTTTGCCAAAAAATAAAAGGATTTAAAACGTTTGCTAAACTTTTATTTGATTACCACCGTTTTTGATAATATATTTCTATTAAATCATTAAAAAAATTGGAATAAAAAACATTTAATAGAACTCACTTATTTTTCAAACATAATTTAATAAGTTATTAATGATAAAAAATAAGATGTTAATCTTATTCATAATTATTGAAGTTAGTTGATATGTTTTATTGAACAAATGTTTAATTTATTTAACTGTCATTTTAACTGATGCTAATAATAACCGTAATTTAAGAATGCAGTTTATATATTTAATAATTGTTTAATACCATAAACCGTGATATTTTCTGTGATGTTTCTCAACTCTCCCCACATGGGGGAGTCCCCCACCCCACCCCCACAAGTTACTCAGCAACTTTTACTCATGTTTTAAATTAACTACTTTTTACTTGAGTGGATTTTTAGACTGGTATTTTTACTTTTACTTAGGTAAAATTTTATCAAAGTAATAGTAGCCTACTTTAGGTTGAATAACATTCTTCCAGTTTCACCTTTATATTATAACACTAAGTTACTCTAAAATAGTTATGAATTATTAACTGACATCTTCAACGGTGTAGTTAGATTAATGTAATAATCAGGCTACTATCTCTAGAAAGTATTGGTCTACATATTACTAATTGCTAAATCTCAACCTCAACCACTTGATTAATACAAAGAGGAGAGACAAGAAACTGCACTTTTAATTCTTTCAAATTCACAATATACAATTGCATGAATTATTCTTAAATTGATCAAAGTGTGTAGAGGGAGAAGGTTACATAAAAAATATACCTTTTAAAAATGTATGTTAAATCCACTATTGTTTTATACTTAATTGGTTTATGTAGTAGCCTATTTAATGTAATTGCATCATATTTTATTTTAAATTACAGAAGAATTAAGAGTAATCCCTTTAATTAAATTACAATATTTAGATTACTTGGTAATTAATAAACACCTCTTTTTGTCTGGCGCTGTTGCCATGGTGACTCCTAATATCTGTGCTCCATTGATAATGGCTTTTTATAGTTGTGGTGCAAGCGCTTAACTCAGAGTCAGTCAACTCAGAGTTGATTGAACTAACTCATTTCAGCTGTTATGTAACCGAAAACTCAGAGTTTCCCATCTCAGGGTAAGTCAACTCTGAGTTCAAGCTTTAACTCAGAGTTGGTTGAACCTCCTTATTGAAACGGGCCCCTGCTATCTGTATGTATTAGTATGATGTTTACTGAGTATGTATTTCTTTTAATATCAGTCTATGCATTAAGCCATGTTTCGAGGACGCGGGTTTCGTGATATCATCACGTACAATATAAGTCATATTTCATTGGCTAGGCAACGACCAATAAAATGGCTTGTTTTTTGAAGACTCCCCCCCCCCCCCTTTTCTCTCCTGCCGCCACTAAGTTGAGAAGATGTAAGTGCCTAATTGAGGTTGTACTGCAAAAGTGAATGTACTAAGTGCAAATGCATATTTCAAGTTTGTGTTTGTCATTGTACTTCAGTAAATGTCATTTTACACATTTGTGACTATTGTCTGCGAGTGCAAATTTCAACATTCAACTTCAGATTTTTATTTGCCATGTTCCCACATTGGAGCTGGGAGTGTAAATTTTAGCGTACAAGTAAGAATATTGATTATACAAGTTCTCAAAATCACATCTACGTGCTCTAGAGTTTTGCTACTCTTTTGCCTTCATAAAACACGGCTATTGTTTGCGTTCTCAAACCATGAGGCGTTGTTGTCATGCAAATGAACGGCCAGGACACATTAAAAATCTTCTGTTTTCAGTTAAAATGGTCTAGAGTAAATTTAATTAAATTTGAATTCATCGTGATTCTATTATGAAATATCTTCAATTAAAATATGGGCATTTAAATATGCAAATAATTATATGCTTATAGGCTACGTCACAGAATAAATAAATCTCTCCCATTTAGCCGAGGTACGTCCCAAAGTACGTCCCAAATCAGCATATGAATCTCAACAATGGTGACATGCTTCATGCGGCAATGGATGCTGGGTAGGGGTGCACGATATATTGACTCATTAAATTGAAAGTCTCTCTATAATTATTTAATATTTTGTTTATGATGCGTCCCGTCCGACATAACATGTACCTTTGGAAAAATACGCGTCACTTGGTAGCGGTGCATTTCCCCCGACTCATTTACTGGTTCTCCTTCTCCATAAAGAACATGAAATCAAGGAGAGGGTTAACCTTTCATGCTACAGTCAGATTTCCCCAAAGTGGCCAGAAAAAACAGGGGAGACTCAATATGACTCTAGTGTCGCTACTCGCTACAAAGCTAATCGCTTTCACTCTCTCACTTCTCCCTCGCTCTACCACACAATCCCCACACATAACTTACACACTTGCCATCTTGACGCACACACCAGCGCACAGGTATAGACATCAGGGCGCCAGTCCACTTCATGGGTTTTCTCTGATCGGATAGCATCTGATTTATCCAAACCCTGGGAAGATCATTTCATTTCTTTACTTTTAAAGTCCCTGTGAGATAAAAATTGAACCTATTTACTTTGTTAGCGCATATTACTAGTCTTGTGGTGAACAATTAATCCATGCAAGTAAATATATCTATATATATATATATATATATGAAGAGTTCAGATGCAAAAGCCTCTAAGTGCCATTTGAAATTTTCTTCTAAAATGATCATTTTTATCAAACTTGTATATTTAAGTTCGGTAATTTCAGTTAAATTGCAATGAGGATTACCTAATAATTGTCATTAAAGTGAAATTACTGAACTTGAATATATAAGCTTGATAAAAATGATCATTTTAGAAGAAAATTTCAAATGGCATTTAGAGGCTTTTGCATCTGAACTCTTCATATATATATATATATAAATTTACCATGGTAATCTTTAATCAAAATCTGAAAAGTTACTTCCGGTTTGGGAGGGTGTCTTTTTCTGATGACGTAGGTTTGACGGCTTGGGCTTGGCCCCCCCCCCCCCCACACACACACACACCACCAATTTATTCTGTCCCTACTTAAAATCAGTCTGCAGATGACAAAGAAATTGTTCAAAACAAGTTTTAACTTTATTTTGTTTTGATATTCCGATCTGTGATATTATATGGATTAAAGTGCAATCAGAAACAACAAGCCAAAAAGACAAGAGGGCAGGCCCTGTCATTGTAAAAAGTGTAAATGTAACATAACATGAAATGGGTGGATTGGGATTGTAAAATAAATAAATAAATATACATATATATATATATATATATATATATATATATAATAAAAACAACTTGCTGCATCACAATAAGTTTATTGTGATTGTCAAATTATTTGGTAACTAAACATAATTTTATTAGGTTTATTAACATAAACACAATGTTTACATGGTACAAAGACTGTATGCTACTGTTTTTATTATTGCTTAACACAAATTTCACACAATTTCAAAGATTTGATTCTGATATTGATTCAATATCAATTCCTTTGGATAAATATTAGGTACAGTAGATATGTTAATGTGTTATGTTAATTGTTCTCCAAAAATAAATTACCTAATGCTGTAAACATACAGAGAGCCCTGTCAGTTGGTATTATTAAAGGTAAACTCAAATTAAAAAATAATGCGTTTTTATAATAACAAACAACGTTATAATATTTTTAATGATATAGGTCAAATATAATAAATGTGTATATATCATATTTAGCAAAATGCTCCTCTCTATAGCAATTATTTTAAGTCCAACTAACATGCATGCTACAAGGGTCATTAAAAGGCATTCCTGAGTCTGAGGTAAATGTAACGTTACGTGACGCATGTTGTTCTCCAACTTCTCCAGCTGTTTTATGGACATCTTTCCGCGGTTGAAAAACACTGATCGATCGGTTTTATTTCGGTAAGTTAGCAGTAAAGAGTAACAGATGATCGGTTAGCGTGCCGCTTGAACTGAGATCTGTTAGTGGTCTTTCACGTGATCACGTCACATTTACAAGCGCCAAAATGGTGTTTATTGTTTGAATTTCGTAATAAAATTGACAGAATCTGAGAGCTGAGGTGAGAATTTGTCTCATATCAATAACAACCTGCTCTGTCTGTTGGTGTCAGTGTCCTCTTGCTCTTTGCTTCGCGATGTTTCTCTGCATGAGAAAATGGATGTGTGCGTGAGAGAGTGTAAAAAGTGACAATTGCGTCTCTCACAGTGTATTTTTGAGAGTTGGCGGCCCTGCAGATTCAGCTTGTAAATGTTTTCGGCGGGTGTGCTTCTGCTGCCGCGGTCTTGTTCATTTATCATTTTGTTGGTGATCTCTATCTTGGCAAGCGCTGAGCGCGCAGCGCGGTCGGAACTACGGGAGCCCAGATGGCCGTCGGCGGTTGTTAAAGAGAAACCCGATTTTCATTCAAGAAAATCGGCGCAATTGGCTTTATGCACAGCTTCACTACTTCCTGAATTTCAGCCAGCTCCTTGTTTCTTGTCTGCCATTATTGGACACATTGATTAATTCAGGTGTGTCTGACCTCAGTAGTCATGGGAACAATAATCAGGCACACCTGAATTAATCAATTTTGCCCATAATGGCAGACAGGAAACAAGGAGCTGGCTGAAGTTCAGGAAGTAGTGCAGCTGGGCATAAAGCCCATTAGGCGCAAACTACAAATTCGAGTTAATCGATAAAATCGATTTATCGCCCAGCCCTACCAATTTACTCACTGAACCACATTAAAATCTCCATATTCCTGAGATTGAAAAATGCGGTGCCTTTAAAATGAAGATTACAAAAGAAAACTAAAAAAAAAAGAAGAACCAAAATCTAAAAGAAAGTATTAAGAAGTCATTAATACTACTTGAAAGTTACAGGCATGCAAACCTTGGGAAAGGGAAACCCATTAAAAGTTCTTCTCCCCATTTTTAATATGGACACTATATAATGCAACACTGATTGCTAAAGTAAACTGATTTCACTAACAGGCCTACCAGTCTCTGTGTAAAAAAAAAAAAAAAAATGATGCTGCCATATTTTTTAAGTCATTTTTACTAGTCTCTCAGGTGAAAATTGTCATTTTGACCCCTCTCCACAAAATAATGGATTATTTAGTAATACAGTCATGACATTTCATATTTTGGCTTCAATCACTATTGATCTCTGTCTTTCTTCAGGAAAAAAAAATGTAGTCGAAGTATCTGATATTTGGTTGATTTTGAACGGAATGACCCTGTAATGCTAACTATGGCGTCAGTTTTGTGTATCAGTTTGAGCCAGAGTCTAACAATGACTGTCAAGAACAAGCTGATAAACCCAGACTAAAGTCACAAATCTCAACAGACTCGGACTGACTGACCAAGCAGAGCAGATTTTCTTTTCAGAACGAAAAGAAACAAAAAATAAACCAGTGTTGAGGATGAAAACAGGTGCAAACAATGCAAATTATACAAAAGAGAGTTGTTTTTAACATTTAAATGAAGTAAAAATTCTGGTAGACCCCATAAACCAAATTATGAAGCTGTAAATGAGCACAATAGGGGCCCTTTAATTAGTCAAATTGTGCTTATTGTGCAAGCCTATTCTCAGTTAATATTGCTGCGTTCAAGTCCTCCTGGGGAGTTCGTACGTACGAGGTGCGTTCAAGTCCGTTTCGTCGGAGCAAAATGGCGGTGTACCTACTTTTAATGAATTACACGAAAATACAGCAAGGTTTGTTAACTCTGCTAATAAAAAAAAATGAAGAACAAAGAATGCGCATCAGGTGTGTTTTTCTTTCTATGTTTTTTATTAGCTTATGAAGCCAATGTAAACTCTATCATTAGGTATAATATTTATTACAGTGATATCATATTTTGTGCAGAGAGCTTGTTTTATAAATGAAAAAGGCTTACAATGTCAATGAGTAAACATTGAAATTCAATTAAAATTTACCGTCAATAGACGTTGAATGAACGTTTCTCACTGACACGCCCCCAACTCGTACAGATCGGGGCTTAAAGAAATCCCGAGCTCCCCACTGGTATTTACGACATTGTGAAGGCGTTCAAGTGCGTTCAACTCGTAATTACGATCTATACGAGATGACTTGAAAGCAGCATATGTTCACTAATATCAGCAGCAGTGTTATGAGTTTAATCTCTGAGAAACTGTTTCTGTTTGTTCTGCAGGAGTGTGTGTTGCTGAAGCAGATGAAGTGAAGACAGTGTCAGTGATGGAGGGAGAATCTGTCACTCTAAACTCTGGTGTTACTGAAACACAGGGAATAATTCTGATACAGTGGAGGTTTGGAGAGTCAGGTTCCACTATCGCTCAAATGGATAGAAAGGAGATCTCATATCCCAGTCCCAGTCACATTGACATATTTACAGGGAAACTGCAGCTGGATCAGACTGGATCTCTGACCATCAAGAACATGAGAACCAAACACTCTGGACTTTATCAACTAGAGAGCGACCTCAACTCTGGGTCCTCACGTATGATATTCAATGTTACTGTCTCTGGTGAGAATACTTTTACTACCGATAACTATAGTTAGATGTTTAGCATTTTATGTTTTGTTTTATGAATTAAACTGAATTAAGCTGAGATTTCACCAGCAAATATTACTTATGTGTTTAACAGTCTTACAGAATTGTAGTTTATTGATATCACAGTCATGCTGTTGTTCTGAATATCTCACACATATGATCAGCATGATGGCGAGTGTGATACTGTTAATATACTATAGTTTTAGAAATAAAATCATATTGATTGACTTACATTTTACACACAATTTGCTCAGATATTTTTAGTTTTATTCCACTGGTGAAAGTTTTGAAATAATTCAAAGCAGGATCAATTATATAGAATTATAAATTGTAATTCTATCTACTGAACACATTCAATTGTAGTGTTTCAAATAGTGAAATGTTCCTGTGCTCTTATATGAAACGACACATTAAATTAGTCAACCGAAAGTAACTGTTGTACATACTAAACTGATTACCTTTATCAATCTGCATATGCCTTGTGTATTAACCATATAAACTGATATTCTAGTGCCAGTCACACTGTTCAACATGTTTAATCTGTGTGTCTGTGAATCTGTTTCTTGCAGAGTCTCCATCTGTTGTTGATGTTGGTGAAGCTGAAATGAAGAGTGTGTCAGTGTTGGAGGGAAACTCTGTCACTCTTCAGACTGATGTTACTGAAACACACGGAGATGAGCTGATAGTGTGGAGGTTTGGAGATGAAGGAAAACTCATAGCTAAATATGATGTAGTCAAGAGCTCACAATTACTCGACACTGATGAGAGATTCAGAGACAGACTGCAGCTGGATCATCAGACGGGATCTCTGACCATCACAAACACCAGAAACACAGACTCTGGAGAATATACATTGAAGATCAACAGCAACAAACAGACGTTTTACAAGAGATTCATTGTTACTGTCAGTGGTGAGTAACTCGAGTCTTATGAAGGATTTTTTTATCAGTTGTCCATAAATAATTCAGATGACACTATAATTAATATTAAATGTTATTTTAATGTTTATAATTATCACTGTCATTGGCATATATTTACTCACTAAATACAACCCGGATCTTCACTCAGGTTATATAGTGCTGATGTTTATAGTGTGTGTGTGTGTTATAGATCAGACACACTCACACTAATGTCTGTCTTTATCATTACAGTATCAGATCTACACTCAGGTTATATAGTGCTGATGTTTATAGTGTGTGTGTTATAGATCAGACACACTCACACTAATGTCTGTCTTTATCATTACAGTATCAGATCTTCACTCAGGTTATATAGTGCTGATGTTTATAGTGTGTGTTATAGATCAGACACACTCACACTAATGTCTGTCTTTATCATTACAGTATCAGATCTTCACTCAGGTTATATAGTGCTGATGTTTATAGTGTGTGTTATAGATCAGACACACTCACACTAATGTCTGTCTTTATCATTACAGTATCAGATCTACACTCAGGTTATATAGTGCTGATGTTTATAGTGTGTGTTATAGATCAGACACATTCACACTAATGTCTGTCTTTATCATTACAGTATCAGATCTACACTCAGGTTATATAGTGCTGATGTTTATAGTGTGTGTTATAGATCAGACACATTCACACTAATGTCTGTCTTTATCATTACAGTATCAGATCTACACTCAGGTTATATAGTGCTGATGTTTATAGTGTGTGTTATAGATCAGACACACTCACACTAATGTCTGTCTTTATCATTACAGTATCAGATCTACACTCAGGTTATATAGTGCTGATGTTTATAGTGTGTGTTATAGATCAGACACATTCACACTAATGTCTGTCTTTATCATTACAGTATCAGATCTACACTCAGGTTATATAGTGCTGATGTTTATAGTGTGTGTTATAGATCAGACACACTCACACTAATGTCTGTCTTTATCATTACAGTATCAGATCTACACTCAGGTTATATAGTGCTGATGTTTATAGTGTGTGTTATAGATCAGACACACTTACACTAATGTCTGTCTTTATCATTACAGTATCAGATCTACACTCAGGTTATATAGTGCTGATTTTTATAGTGTGTGTTATAGATCAGACACATTCACACTAATGTCTGTCTTTATCATTACAGTATCAGATCTTCACTCAGGTTATATAGTGCTGATGTTTATAGTGTGTGTTATAGATCAGACACACTCACACTAATGTCTGTCTTTATCATTACAGTATCAGATCTACACTCAGGTTATATAGTGCTGATGTTTATAGTGTGTGTGTGTTATAGATCAGACACATTCACACTAATGTCTGTCTTTATCATTACAGTATCAGATCTTCACTCAGGTTATATAGTGCTGATGTTTATAGTGTGTGTTATAGATCAGACACATTCACACTAATGTCTGTCTTTATCATTACAGTATCAGATCTACACTCAGGTTATATAGTGCTGATGTTTATAGTGTGTGTTATAGATCAGACACACTCACACTAATGTCTGTCTTTATCATTACAGTATCAGATCTACACTCAGGTTATATAGTGCTGATGTTTATAGTGTGTGTTATAGATCAGACACACTTACACTAATGTCTGTCTTTATCATTACAGTATCAGATCTACACTCAGGTTATATAGTGCTGATGTTTATAGTGTGTGTGTGTTATAGATCAGACACATTCACACTAATGTCTGTCTTTATCATTACAGTATCAGATCTTCACTCAGGTTATATAGTGCTGATGTTTATAGTGTGTGTTATAGATCAGACACACTTACACTAATGTCTGTCTTTATCGTTCCAGATCCAGGTCTGTCTTCAGGAGCTGTAGCAGGAATAGTTATTGTTGTTCTGCTGTTGTTCGCTGCTGCTGCTGTTGGTGTGATTTACTATCAGCGAAAGATCTCTGAACTAGAAAGACAAAAGGGTAAGTATTACAGCTGATATGGCAAAAGCATAGGGTTGGCTCTGTACTGCAATTTTTGCTTCGGTACGATACCAGAATATAATATTGATACTAAATTTATAACAGGTGACAAATGACCAGCCTCAAAAGAACTGAAAACTATTTTATTATGAACACTGTATGAAATTCTGCAGTAGCAATTGTATTGCTTGTAAACAAGATAACTAGTTTGTTTATATCACATTGTGCACAACAGAATCAAAATGTTAAAAAAAGAAGAAAAAAAGAAAACTATGATAGTTAAATCTGCAACAACTATGTAATGTCTTCTTGCTTCTGTGGAGTTGCTTTAATACTTCTTAGTTAGTTTAATGCATCAAGTAATGTTAATATGATAAATATGTATCAATATATTTATAAAAGATTATTGAACTAGATTACTAAATTATATAATATTGTTTGGTCAGGTTTCCTAATGGATGTTGACAAAAAGTAGCTTTATATAAAATTCTATTCTAACAATCATATTAGTTATATTCATATTATTTTTAATACCAAAATTAATATTACTAATCTCTTAATACATTCAAGCGAATTCAATTCATATATTAATTGTTTGAAATTATACGCAAGTGCAAATACTACGAGACCTAAACATCATTGATTCGTTAGTCATGTTTGAGCTTCTGTTTACCGCAACATGATACACTCAGATTGATGTGTGTTGATCAGTGTTGTGAATAAAAGTCTAAATTAATTGGTTGAAAGATGCTCTCAACTGTTGATCTATTAACTTTTTGAACAAATTAGGATTAGCAAGTGAAAGATTTGATGTGTTGCCTCCCCTTTGATCCTCGTGTTGTTTCTTTATAGCCACCACCATTCAAAAGTTAAATTAAATATCTAAGTTGACAGTAAATACATTTTTAATTTATATGGTCTGGCTCTGGAGTGGAGAATGAATGGAGGAAAGGATCTTAGCGCAGCATTTATTAAAACAAACCAGATAAAGGTTAACCAGACAATCCTAAATGAGAGAGAAAACCCATAAACGGGACAGATTTGTAAATATACCAAAGATAACGCCTGACCACAACAGACTGAACCAGAGGGATATTCAAGCACAGGATACTGATCAACTAAACTAGAAACTTGTGGAGGACTGTGATCAGGAACCACTGAAACAAATATGAACGTATAGAAAACATGTGACGTGATTCAGTACACGTCAAAATACAAGCCCTTAAACAAAAACAGAGAATATTTATCAATAGAGAAATAACTGTTCTTCTGAACTTTCTATTTATAAAAGAATTCTGAAAATGCATCACTGTTTAAATAAAAATAGCATCACAACTCTTTCCAAAATTATTAATAAACAGAAATGTTTCTTGAGCTGCAAATCAGCATTTTAAAATGATTTCTGAAGGATCGTTTGACAGTGAAGACTGGAGTAATGATGCTGAAAATACAGCTTTGATCACAGGAATTACATTATTAAAATATAATAACATAGAAAACCGTGATTTTAAATTGTAACAATATTTCACAAATCTTACATACATTTTTTGAACAGCAGTATATACAATAAACAATATGCTAGATAAAACATTGAAACTTGTCTTCTGCTTATTACATCTTTCTTATATCTGTCTGTCTGAAAGAAGTCTTTTCTCACCAAAGCTTTTGCCATTTACAGCTACCTGAACTAATATTAAAAATGTATAATTGATAAATGCTGAGGGAAGGGAAGAATTGTTTATTCATGCTAACTATGGCAATAGCTCAAATTAACACATGCTATTATTGTAACTTATTGTAAATTGTTATTCATTATTTTTTTTAAGAAAAGGCCTCTGTGATGAACTTATTATTTACAGTAGATGTGATGAGCACACGTGAAGAATCATAAAGTATATTCTCAGTGTTTCTGACATGTCTTCTAATTTCTCTGCTGTGATATGAAGTGATGAACGTGTCTGTGAAGGAGGGAAATGATATCACTCTAAACACTGGTGCTGAACTACACAGAGATGATCATGTAGAGTGGAGATTTGGAGATAGAGAACTTCTCATAGCTGAAATCAGAGGAGGGGTCACTGAGATATATGATATTGGTCTTGATGAGAGATTCAGAGACAGACTGAAGCTGGACAAGAAGACTGGATCTCTGACCATCAAGAACACCAGAAACACAGACTCTGGAGAATATCAACTAAAGATCAGCCAAGATGGTAAAATCAAAGACAAGAAGTTCAATGTTTTCGTCTGTGGTGAGTAGTTTACATTTAACATCTTTATTCTTTTAATTTTAATATTTTAATGTATGATGTCATTGTGAAGAGCTTATTTCAGGTTTTCCTTATCTTTATTGGCGAGCTTTTGTCCTCACAATGTTGGTGAAATCACACACACACTCATTTTTATTAGCATTATTATTAGCAGTTTCATCTTCAGGATTTCTTCTGATCAGAAACACTATCAGCTTTACTCGTGGATATGGACAATTAAAATATAGACTGTCTTTTTGATATTTTGGCACTATGAACTTATTAGAATAATTAATCCGGTAAACTCTCTCCAAACGTGATGCTTCTCTCCTAACGTTAAACTTTACTGTGTGCAAAACAGTAAGCAGTGTAAGCACCAACCAATGATAGTGATTTTGAACTAAAGATGATCAAAAATAAATTTGCTGAGGGACAATATCGATCTACGAGCGCCGATCCAAGTGTGCTGAACTGTGCAGAATCTCATATGGTCCGTTATTTCCGGAAGAAACACAAACACGAACCGTTTTCTTCTCTTCAGTATGTACACGTAGCCTAGTGTTCGCGCTCACCTTATCACCTTATTCACATCTCACCAGCGCACTTGGATCGGCGTTCGTAGATCGACTGGTAGAGACTATTTTTTAAAGATGGCTTCTTCCTGTATTCGCGAAGTTGACTGTGTGTATAAAATATCTTCTTATTAAACTGTATGGACACTGACAAAGTTCTCAATGCTTCAGTTTGAATGTATGGGACCCTTATTATGCTACCGTGTTAGTGTGGGGCTATTTTGAGCCTTGTTAGTGGTAATAACAAGCGATTTTTATTTGTCATAGACAGCAAACTGACATTGAATCAACGTGGAAACGACGTCTCTCATGACATTGAAACACTGTTGATTTGCTCATCGAATTAACGTTGAACCAACGTCAGACGCGGCATTCTTCAAAGCTAAATGAAATCGAAAATTGGTTTGCTTTCATAACGTTGAAACAACGCGTTGATTTCAAGTTGATTTTCCGTTAGTTTTGAAAGAATGACGCGTCTGACGTTGGTTCAACGTTAATTCGATGAGCAAAACTATGTCAGATCAACGTTGTTTCGATGTCATATTTCTACGTTGATTCAATGTCAGTTTGCTATCTGGGTAGTCATTACTCTATGCCTTATATACTAGCATTATACTAGCGTTATAGGCTAAACTGTTTTTAGAGATAAAGCTATTTACATCCGGCAATCATAAAAAAAACAAATCTCAGATAACGATTGACTAGGTAACAATGTGTAATTAGACCAAAGGTTCATTTTGCGCCGGAGTTGTCCTTTAAAGCCACACCGTGGAACTCTTCAACCTTTATAATATATTACCAAAACCCATTGAGATGGAAGATCGACTTGCAATAGGTTGAATGACGCGTCTGCCGTCTCCTGAAGGTGTCTGTATCGCTTTTACTTGCACTTTGTAACTTCGGGTTTCGGGTAGTGTTCGGGTAATGCTAGTGCTCAACTCGCGTTTGACTGCCGTCTGTATGTTTTCGTCATGCCGAACAACAGCTACAATGAAGAAGGCAACGGTTTTATCAGAGGAAACTAAAAAAGAAAAGGGGAGAGTGACAAATTAAAATCCAGGACTAGGATTAACACATTGGTCCAGCTTTCGCTTCCCTCGCTGGCGTGAGCTAACGGAGGAAGGGTACTCGACCGATGCGGACGCTTGCCTTCACACAAATGCTGTTTCTAAGGTAACCCAGATAAATTCATATAAGCAGTGTAGTATTTTCTGGTATTCCGGCCACAGCCGATGGTGTTATGAGTGTAATAAAATGCCCACAGCCCAGTGTTCATTTCTACAAACAGCCCGCCTCAGTGCAGGGCTCGCACTAATAAAATCGGCTCATGTAAAATATAACGTTAACATTACATTAAATGTAGTGAACGTCCCCACGACTCAGTAGTACCCACAAACACTAACATTACACACTACATGTCCCACGGTTGCTGTAAAAATAAACCAACACACATAACGTTACAGTCAGCTCTGGCCGACGGTGTTTTCAGTGCAGTGAATGTGCCCGCTGTCCCACGCCCACATTCACTCACAGACATGATAATCCCCACGGGGATCACCCCGCTCGCTCTCTCAGCCGGCTGCTATAAGGGAATCAAGCGCGGCAAGGTTGCCCGGCCCGCCTCATACACTGCAAGCACCATAGACAGTAAAAGCACAAGCACACACAATCTAAAGACACGGGAGGCTGACCGGTTGACTGTTTGTTGACTTTAATTTGCGACAGTGCTGCGGAGCTTGTGGCCTCTAGGGACGCTGGATGTGAAAATTACATGTTGAGCACCATCTAGTGGCCAAAAAGTTCCGCAGTGTGGCTTTAATCCACTTTTTCCTTACACTCAATTCAGTCGGGAATCCATGAAAACTTAAGTAGGGTTGGCGTTGTTGGTTAGATTTACAAAGTGGAACAGAGCAGTGACATCTAGCCTTTGTTTCAGCCATTGTTGAAGTGTAAGTGGACATGCACAAACTTGACAAATCCCGCCCATGAAACCCGGGAAAGCGGGACTTTAAAGGGTTAGCCCTTTAAGACTCCACAGGCTCCATCTCATGCAAAATAGACAAAAGCCAAATGAGAGCATCGATGACTTTATGACTATAGCCAGAACTCTTGCACTGAAATGCCAATTCACTGACGATGAGCTCAATGAACGTTTAGTCGAACTTATCATTGGTAGTAC